TAGAAATTATAAAAGAGAAGAAGTTAAGATTTTCTATACAATTTAGTGAAAAACAAGAAATCATATATATATATATATATATATATAATAAAGGTAATATAAATTAACTCCAGTAAAGGTGGCAGTGCCTCCTGGTTAGGGATTAATTTATACTCCCAATCATGTAAAAAAATATATAACAAAGATGTACATTTTGGTCTTTTATCAAGAACATTTAAATTACAATTCTTAACATACATTTTCCTTGAATTATAAACTTTATCTGCGTTGTCTCTTCGTTAGAAATTACAAAAGAAGATAAACTAAGGTTATTAAAATAATAACATATTAAACTAAGCTAACTATGCCCCGATGTCACATCCTATCAGAGCATGCCCAACTGAAACCTTAAGCCTCATCAACCACATCCTCATGATGTTGATCTCCTGCAACATAATTTAAACATATACAAAAACAACAAGGGAGTGAGAAACATCTCACTTAGTTTTAGGTGAAGAAATAAAGGTTAGATAGCACCCACACACACAAATATAAGTCACATGTAAAACATACACATACATCATCAATATCACATATATACTTATTTATCATGCTATGATGTCATGGACTCAACTCATAAATGCATGCATGTGACGCCATACAGAAGTTTCACATATCATCACTGGTGACCCAAAGGTACACCTGGTTACATCACTGGTGACCCTAAGGTACACCTGGTTACATCACTGGTGACCCCAAGATACACCTTGTTAGCAAGTTACATCACTGGTATGCAGCCTCAACGGCACACCTGGAGTCATATATGCATATGATGCATGTCATACAGTCATTCTTTCATTGACTTATTACAGAATTTCATTTAGTACATCATATCATCATTTTTCATGTTCTCATAATCATAACTTGTCTCAATAGTCCATTCTTAGGTCTCATGTCTTTTGTCCATATTTCACAAGATCAGGTCATCAATACTCCTCATAAGGTCCGCACAGGTATTCAAAGATAGCATTCTTGTTAAATATATATATATATATAGAGAGAAAGAGAGATAAGCCTCACTCTGTCCTTATTTGTGGAAAAATCGACAATCATTCACCTCCATTAATACCTTTATCAGCCACATGAACCTCACCAATATGGTTAATGATGAATGTCCATGCATTAGTGACCACAAATAAGATATTATAGGATTGTTTACTTGTGTAAAAACAAGAGAAGAGAGGGAGAAAAGTGTGGAATTACACTTTTTTTTCCCACAAAATTAAACAAGTCAATTTTTTGTAGCTGTTAAAAATAATCAAAATTAATATTTCATGATGGTAGTTTATATTTTTTTTCTATTTTATTTTTCACTTATTTTTCTTTTTCTTCCCCATAACTATGCATCACGTCAAAAGAGAAGAATAGTGCATGTCACACTCCACGGACACACAAAACAAAAAAGTTGGAAAAGGATGAGACTTATTGGGAGTAATTATTTATTTATAGTTGGCGTTATTTCCCTATCATGTATATATATAATCCAATAAAACACCTATCGTCAACTTTAATTCAATAATTGGTATTCGTGCGTCATTCATGTGACGTTTTATTTAGATTAGTTATGTTTTAAGCTTTAAAACTTGAAGTAATTATTTTTTTAATCTTTTAAGCCTAAAATTTATGTTTTTAGTTTATGTAGTTTTAAAAATGAAATTTAATTTTTGTATATATTTTTTTAGACCTGAAATTTAAAATTTAATTTTTAGTATTTAAAATATATAAATTATTTTTTGAATTAATCAAATTAAATTATTTTTTAACCCTCAAATTAACAATTTTTTTTTAATTTTAAGAACTAAAAAATGTTAAAAACACGTCTACTTTAATGAATCTGTATTTCTTTTTTTACAAGATTATTACGCATGACTTTAATAAATGCTATTTATTTTATTTTTAATTAAAATTAAAATTTTATTTTAGTAATTTGTGCAATGAAAATTTGCATTAAAAATTATCAAACTATTAAAGTAAATACTCAATTTTGTAGTTGAAACGACGTTTCTAAGCAGACAATAAGTAAAAGTTAAATGAACTTTAAAAATATCTGAAGTCTGCGTCAACTTTAATAATTCAGCAAACAGCATTCTTTCCATATTGAAACGACAGCCTCTAATCAAATGAAAAGATAAGTAAAATTAAATAAATTTAAATAATCATACTGTTTCAAATAGGCTTAATATATTATTTTAAGATAAAATTTTAATTAGATCTTTAAATATAAATAATTTGTAATTATGTTGTTGATTTTCTTTATAACTTTTATAATTTAATCTTTTGAGTTAATTTATAACTTTAGTAACTTGAAATCACTATAAAAATAATAATAACTTGTAGTAATTTTACTAATTTCCGAAATCGAATTATTGGTATTGTACAAGATCAGTAACTTAATTGTAATTTTTTTTCGCTGAATATATTTTAAGAAGTAAATTATAAGCATTTAAATAAATTATATATTTTTAACTGAAAAAAATACAATTTTAAAAGAAAATTTGTAAATTGAAAAGTATGAACAATATTTAAAATAATAAAAATAATATTCTTCATAACATATTAAAAATTAAAATAAATTATATGTAATTATCTTGTTTATGTAAAGATTTAAATGCACTTTTAGTTATCCTATTTTTATTAATTTACAATTTTTATTCTCCTATTTTAAAATAAAGATATTTAGTTCTATATTTTTTTAAGTACAAAATTTTTCATATAAAAGATTTTTATAATAATTAAAAAATAACATACAAAATATTTTTGTTTGTATTTATTTTAACGAATATTTTTTTAGAGTATTTTAACAAATAATTGATATTTTTTTAATAAATCTTATTTACATAATTTAAAAAAAAATTATCTTTAAATATTATGTCATTAAATATTATATTACTTAAATATAATAAACTTTAAATTTTAGCTATTAATTAATGTCAACTTGACAAAAGATCTTAATTTATGTAATATTAAATTAGAGGAATTAAATGTTTTTATCTTAAAATAGAAAAAATAAATTACGGATTGATAAAAATAAAAGAGTTAAAATTATAATTTAGTTTTATATAAAAATAAATACATTACTTAGTTAAATTATCCATATAAGAACAATTTTAATTATTTGTTATCTTAACTATTTTAATTAATATTCTTTATTTTATGTCATTTTAGTACTAAATGAACATCAATCTAGAGCAAGAAGAAAATGTCACCTAAAAATAACAATTTTTTTTTTTGTTACAAGAACTAAAACAAAACTGAGCCATATTTGCAAGAGCACTTAGCAATGTCTAGAACTTAAAACATATTTAAATATTTTCTTTTTAATGTAGACACCAAAATTAAATTCTCAAAATCCTCAAGAACCTACCGATAATTGCTTGTACTTGAAATTTGAATATTAAATATTATTTGATTAATTTTAATTTTAAAAATACAACGTTCAACGATATAAAAAAAAATTATGTTCAGTAATACAAGAATTACAAGTAATATCAATAATATTTTACGAGCAATGCACGTGCTTAAAAAAATATTACAATCTTTTTATATAATTTATTATTTTTAGTGAAGTATAAATTATTTTTTAAAATTTAATTAATATACGTCAATGCAAAAATAATAATAAAAACCCTAAATAGACGTTTAATAAAATTTCATTACCTTATTATATTCTATTCAATAATGAGGTTGCAATATGGTAAATTTCATTTGAATATACGTATGAAAATGTTTTATACTAACAACGCATATAACTTAACTTTTGGTTTTTGTTTGTACTTTTTTTGGACATGAAATGTGTTTATTTTTTTAAAAATATTAAGATATTTAATATTATAATATAAATGTATTCATACATAATACTATTATGTTGATATTTTTTTGCTTAAATATACATTTCTTTTTAAACTTATTTCAGTTTAAATGATTTTATTTTGTGTTAATAATAATCGATGTTTATTAGTAACTATTATTTTAACATATTCAATAGGTGGGATAAATCTTTATTTTTCTTTTGGGATAAAAATTAAAATTTTCTATAATCATATCACACATCGCTAATGGCAGTGGCTGAGATGTTCATTTTTGGCAACTTCTCTTCATCTAACTTTTATGAACTTTTATGATTCAATAGTTCAAGATAGGTTCAATCAAGCATGATAAAAATAGTTCAATGTATGAAACGTGAGCTGACAACTTCAAAACATGGAAAGAATTTTCTATTTCTTTTCTTGAGCTAATGATCAGAGAACCTTAATAGTTTACTTAATTATCACATTGTCAATTACGCATTCCTATTCAACAACTGTGTGAGGTAAACACAAAATGCATGGCCAATACGCCAGCAACCAAAAATATCATACACAAACAAAGCTGACCAACTTCAACGACAGGCACAAAAGCACCAGTCCAACGCATTTGAAGGAGAGAAAAGCTCCTTCAATCATAAGATGGAGCAAGACATTCATCAACCATATCCAAAAGATTTGGGTTTTCCAGTGCAGCTGCCACACGCTCTTTATCATTTAATTGTTTGTTAACTGCGTATATATTTGTGACAAAGAAATAAAAATTAAAATGAAATACTATGAATTTCCAGTCATGATCAATGATTTATAAAAGAATTCTAAAATAGTCTGGAGGCAAAATCAACAACTCATTGACTAGTGTGTTTCAGAAGACACTTTAAGAGCTTATAAGCTGGTTTGATAAAAAAATTAAAGCATGTTTGTTCATGTGGCAGGGATGCTTGTGTTTTAAAAGGGGAAGGGAGCACAGGAAAGCACGAATGCTGGGTTTGAGGGCAGAGCTATTTGTATAAAACAAATAATCATCAAATAAAATGAAATACTAAATCTAATTCTTTCACCCCAAAAGTCTAAATTCTAAACCAAAGTCAGGAGTGTTGTAACAGGTCTGTCAACAGCATGCTTTAATCTAAGAAAGAAATGCCATGGCAATCATTCAAGTAGTAGGACATTCCTAGATCAATATTTGAAGGACAGCAGAATGCTTCAGTACACAGAGAATTCAAATCAAGAACATCGGTGCAGTAAAGTAACACATAAGAAAGAGAAAAAAGTAAGAAATTAAAACCTGCAGCTTCAGTGGCATGAGATCCAGGTGCTACTCTGATATCCACCTAACCAGAATTAATTAGTAAACATAAATAACATAGGATTCAAAGATTGGTTGAATATTTGATTTAATTAGTAAATACTATAAATAGTATTTCAGTATTCCCTACATTCACAGAAACACGAAAGTACATATTATGCTTTATAAACATCGTAGTTTGACAATATATAGTATCATACAATTAGGTAACAATACAAAAATATTAGACAAGAAAAAAAATGTGGATTATGGTTAAGATGTCAAATAGTATTGCAGGTGTAAGAGATATCATGAGTGGAACAGCTATACCAATGGCAGGAGCTAGCATGTCCTCCTCTATAAATCTTGTGAAGTAGCACCAGTTCAACTTATTTTAAGAGAGCATTGGCATAACAAAGGATGCTCTGAATAGGCATGAGAGTTTGGAGAGAAAAATAAATCTAACCCCATTACCATCGGGTTTGGAGAAATATGTGGAGCATCTGTCCCATTCTATTTTATTTCTTAATTCAACTCACTTATATATTTTTAAAATAAATATATGAAATACATTTTAATTAAAATATATAAAAAAAGATGTCAAGAATCTAATAAAAACAAGAAAATTCAGAAGTAAGCATTAAATCATACCTTTAACAAAATGTGTGATATCAACTTTATCACTGAACTATGATTACAATGATCAAAATTACTTTACTATTTTCAATGATTATGAGAAATGTGAGTGGAAATAAAATCATAGCTCTACTTCTCACAACATGTGGGACTGAAGGCAGATGGGTATTTATAGTTTATATAGTTTATACCCCCAAACCCTTCCGTGCCTTAACAAATTGAGAAGAACCTAACCCAATTAAAGTGAATTTTTTCATCAAAAATCAGTTAGATTCAGACATGTACCCACAGGCTCAGATCAATTACTATGTCTAGTTATGAGTCAACAAAAGCATTGTGACTGACTAGTCAAAGCCTAAACCCTAAATATATTATATGAATCACTTTCATGGATCAAGCTTAGGTTCCAGGATTTTTAACAAGAACTCTCTAAAGCTTGTTTTATTAGATGTTTTGCGGCTTCTGGTTTCAGCTCATGGGTTATTTTAAGGGTCTACAATCTACATATCTTTATCTGGTATGCAAAGGTGATACTCTGAACAGAGTTTTCTTGATTCTGCTTTAGAAGGATTTCTGATCCTCCTGCATCATTTCCATCTACTATTGACTTCTAAAGAACAAGGGAAGCAAAAACAATTTTATACTAATGAAAAAATTGAGTGCTGCCTCTACTGCAATAGGTGTCCCACATATTTAGTATTGATTATTTTGTAAGAAGCCAGAAATCATTCAAGCAAGAATAAGGGATTCAGAATTGTTGCATGTTGTTCAATATTGAAGTCACAGACTCACAATTCACATTCACTACCACGTTTTTTTGCAACATATCATAAATCATGATTGCAATTAAGCAATTCATTGCTGTTTTAATCCATCTCTCTAGTTAGTATTAACAATCTATAAGTTAAACAGTACTTTAACTTAAAGCAGTTATCTACTCAACTGTGTGCCCATTGACACATAGTATGAACACATTAAATACACCGTATGAATTGTTTTAAATTACTTTAAAAAACTAGTAAAGAAGTTTAGTATTTATTTTATATAAACAAATAGCTTTTTCTTTGTTAGGAAATGTCTAATTTGAAGTTTTTACTATGTGCCCATGGACACACATAACAGGAAGTCCCTTCTATTAATCATATAAGAAAATAACCCATCAATACATTTTTGCCTCTCCAACTCCACGTAGCATTTATCAGAGCAATTTATTAAACTCAGAAAAATGGAGAATACCTTGTATCGCAAAGGCAAGCTTCTCATGAGTTTGACACGTAAGCATAGACCTATAATTGTTGCCATACTGCAATGTTCCACTGTAGGAGTAAATGTAACCCTGAAGAATAACCCAGTCACCATCCAATAAAACAAGGAAATTAAATATTCCATAATCCACATAAAGTGTGTATCAAAAAATCTAGAAACTCAATAAATGAAAATAATAGTAATAATAATAAATTAGTAACAGTAATAATTATTATAATCACAAATACCTAACATAATTACGCTGATCATCAACTTCAACTGCTTCCTCTGTGATCACCTTAAGCTCTTCCAAGGAGTATGGATGCTCAGGGTCCTTTATATCTCTTATATGATTTGAGAATGTTAAGAAAATATTAGTGTTACAATTATCAACTTTTCTTTTATTTTCTGAGTAATTACTGGAAAAAAAATGAAATTTGAAGTCTAAAAAAAGGATATCAAAAATCTCTTGTTGGTCAATTGGTTCCACAGCATACTCATCATGGGGAGCAGAAGGAGCAGTTCGAGCTCGTCGCTCTTTCTTTTCATATATGACAGGGTTTGCATTGATTAACCCAGATACCATTTTGGCCAAGATTGCAACTTGCTCGGTAAGGGCAACAACAAGAAGGATGATTCAAGTATTCAACCGGAATTTATCAATTTACTATTACAAAACTGTCCCAAATATGATAGCTGGAACTTGGTAGGAAGGAACCTCAGTCCTAAATACGACTTTCTATGCTGCATTCAGGAAAAAAATTTTAAAAAATTATAATTAAATAATAATATGATAACTAAAAAATTATAAAATTTATAATTTATCATGATAACTAAAAATAATAATATGATTAAATGTACATTAAATTATTTTATCTGTACACATCAAATTATTTCCCAACACTCGAGCAAAACAATATTTATTGACCTCAGAAACTGCTCAGAAAAGGAAATGGCACCTTGAAACTGAACATTGCACGCAAATATTCTTTCCTAGACATGTGGTATATTCGCTTGCCATCTAAACAAAACCCATTAGTTGTCACTTGCCATTCAAATAAAATAGCTCTTTCCTTACCAACTCATCCCCAATATCTTTTCCGGCATCAGCATGCCTTTCAAGATTATGAGTCTATTTGAATTCAAACTTAGAAGTGCTTCCGGGAGCTTCTTTACTAGAAAATATTCTTTATTTTCAGTAAAAGAAGTTTTCAAAAACACTTTTAACTTGTATTCAAACATCCTGTATATGGTTAAGCTTACTTATCCTTACCATTATAGCCTAAACCTATTTGTCACGTAGTAGGTGAACTTAAGATTATCTCTATCCATATGCAGTGAAAGAAAAGTAATAAAAAGCTAATAATAAATGGATTGTACACCCTAGACATAAACTTATAACATAGCCTAAACAATAATATGGTTTCTTTCTTTCTCAAATTTCATCATCAGGCTCAAGCAATTCACGAGACCTTCACTTATCCAACCTAAGAGGGATAGCAGAGCACAAAATGTCACACAAACACAATCCACCATGGCATGAATTTTTCATCCTAATCCAACGCTAACAACTTGTGTGCAAAAAATATCAAAATTAAGAAAACCCAGCTCATGTAAAATTGAAAAACCGCAACTGTGACAAAGCAATCGAATGGCGGAAAAGTGGTGAAAAATCAAAGCAGGTGGTATTAGAGTTGAGCAAGCTCTCACCTTTTGTCGTTGAATTTGAAAAGTTGGGGTTTCCAGAATACGTGCCTTCGGAGTTGGGAAAAGTAGGTTCGGAGCGGTGATTGGTTTGGTTGGAGAAGATGGCGCACGCAGCACCGATGAAGATGGTTACGGGGAACGCAAATGGCGAATTATAAGGTCGAATAATGTAAACAAATCTCGCCCTTTCATTTCCCTTAAAAACAAATCAACGGCTGCAAATAAGAGTGTTACAAAAATGAGGTTTCACAATTCTGAAAATCAGTATTTTGTGTACCTAAAAATAATAATTAATCTTTGTTGAGAACTTTAAAATATTAGTTAATTAATAGAAAAATAAAGAAAACTCTCGCTAAAAAAAGAATATAGTAACAATTAAATAAAGTCGAGAAATAAGTTGTTATAGCATCATAGTTCAAAGACTTTGTTATAGTTCTATTTTCATTTTGATTTAGTTTATCATAGTTATATTGTAATATTTTATTACACTAATTTAATATTATGTTAATTAAATTATTTTATTTCATAAATTAATCTTCCATTAAACTAAACAACTAATTTAAATAAAATTAAAGTTTTTAATTTTATAAAATAACTTCTATTGAGAAAAAGAAACTTCTTATCTAAAACTTTTACTTTGGTGTCTGTTCAAAAACGCTTTTACTTTAGTTTAATTAAAAAATAGTAGTAATATATTATTATCCGGTGATAAAATAAAAAGAAAATTGTCACCAAAAATAATAAAAAAAAGAAAAAAGAAAATTGTCTTAGACGCACACACGTTTCACGCTTGTGGTATACTGGTATCCGTGTTCTTCTCTCCATCCCAAAATTTCGGCGGTGCTCGTGCGCCATCTTCTCCGAACAATCACCACTTTACCTAACTCCCAACCCAAAATTTTGGTTTCGCCACCTCACTTTCCCAATTTTAAGAGACAAGGTACCAACGCTTTTTCCTTCCCTTATCTTCAATTTTCAATGTCAGCTTATAAGCCTTTCTTTTTTCTTGCTCAATTTTCTGCAACACTTTCGGGACTCAATAATTATATAGGGAATTTTTTTTTAATAATTTATTTGTTTTATGCTCGAAATTTCTGAAAGAGCTTTGAAACTGAGCAGATTTTTGTTTGGTGTGTTTATTTTCCGAAAATCGCATTTATTTTTTATGTTTGTTAAAAAAAAAACTGTTTTTAACGACCCGCTAACTGTTTCTAAACCCTTCCTTTCCCTGTCCGCTATAAATAGCCCTAATCATTGGAGCGGGAAAGCCACGATTCTGAAAATGCAGGTCTCGGGTGCCATCAGCGACGTTTTGGTGGTGCTTCCTCCTTCGGCATCTTTCAGGCAACCAGAATTTCGCCATTTGCATGCTTTTGCCGTTTCTGACACCAAGGGTTTTCTTTCTGGTGGATTTCTTAAAGTAAGCTTTCTATCATTTTCGTTTTTACTTTCTTGTTAACCGCATCATCTTATTATACTATTAATTGTGGATAAACGTTTATGTATAGAAATTTAAGTTGTATCCACATAAACATGAATGTATAAAGATTGGCATAATATTAGCTCACAAGTTCAATTGACCATGCCAGAAATGACAGAAAGATGCAGCAAGACACCTGTTGCAATAGCCGGAGTCATAATTTCAGTCCTAAGAATTTGCAATGCTATAGAAATTATGGAACTATAATGGCTATTTAATTGCACTGTTATGACTTGTAACAATTTGTGAGGTTTGGGGATGGGGATTTGTCATCTTCCCTTGGAAGCTAACTGAACCGCCAAATTTTGGCAGTTTATCAAAATTTAGGAGACACGGAACTTGTAACAATTGATTCCTTAGCTTATATAATATAGGTTAGATTGTAAATTAAAATGGGTTCTATGTTCTTGCTTGCTATATGAGTGTTGTGATAACTGTGGATTGAATATGCTCCACTCTTTGTTCTGTCACTTGGTTTTTTTTTTTGTTGAATGGTACTTACTCTACTCTTGCTAATTTAGCTTATGTAAGTTGCTAAGGCATTAGCTTTTGCTTCATCTTTAACATGTTAATTATATTGACACAGCTACACTTCTTTTTTCCTTTTGGCTTCAAGCTTGATTGGCCCTTAACTTGAGAAAAATTGCTTTAATGTACCTTGTTGATGCTTAATTTTTCCCAGTATATTACTTTACACTTTTCATTAAAAGGTAGTCCATTTTCCTGCCTACAACTTGTGTCTTATTCTTTAGTCTTGATTTATCTTTTTCTTCTATTTTTCTTTTTCCTGTTATAACTTGGGTACTTCTATTCTTTTAGACATTGTTGTTAGGATAGTCAGATCGTAAGAGTTGAGCTGCCTTTTCCATGTTGAGTTAGTTGTGGGATTTCCTGTGAGTGGGATCATAGTAGAATAACGACTTTTATCGTGGGGTTGTTGATCCCTGGTGTCGATATGTGAACCTTGAGGTCTTAAGTGAACTTAATAACCAAGTGAACCAAAACACATTATGCGTATATAACATTGAAAAATTATCTTTATCTCTCTCAAAGTACGTGTACTGTTGAAAAAACTAGCGTTATTTTAAGATGTAGCGTCAACTTTTCGGCACTAAATTTAAATTAAGATTAATTTAAATTAAATTAATGTCGGAAAAGCCGACACTATATCTAAAGAAATAGCGTCAGCTTTTCCAATGCTAAACTTAAAATAAATTAAATTAGCCGACGCTTATTTTTCGCAGCTATTTCACCATTTTCTTGTAGTGTTCTTTGTTGAACACCAGGATAATTTTTCGAGTATTTGACAAACACCAAATAGGTGAATATCCCCTCCTTGCTTGAATTTTTTTACAAAATTTAATTACTGGTCACTTGATTAAGCAAAATGAGTCCCTTGTCACTCGCACCAACCAACTCAAATTGGTTGTTATATTTTAATTCTTATTGATAAAGAAAATAAATCATATTCAAACTTAAAAAAGGAAACACATTTCTTCAACACTTAAATAAAATTATACTAATTAAGCATCACAAGAATATATCTTAAATTTTTTAATCTGTGAAAAAATAGAAGTAAAAATGAAAGAAAATTATGTCATGCAATTATATATGGTTTAATTATTTAGCTTGATTTAAAAAAAGTAAACATATTTAATTATTTTTAAATATTACAAAAAAAAAAACATATGCACCTAATTTTTAAAACAAAATTAATACATTCCAAAAGGAAAAAAAAAATACATCATATTGCTCAAGATAAGAGAACAATGGGCAAATTTTTTTCTAAGTTTAGTTAGTTAGATATTATGTTTATAGTTTGATAGTTAGTTAGATATTATGTTTATAGTTTGATAGTTAGTTAGTTTAGTTAGTTAGATAGCATTGACAAACATGTTTTATAGCTTTTTTAGGATAATAGGATTTACATTGTCATAATTTATGTTTTTTAAGATTTATATATTATTTTCTTTTTGTCATTCAATTTTGAAATACAATTTGAATTTCTATTCTGGACTGCCTGGTTTAGAGTTGGTATTCTGGATTATATTTATATGCAGGTGTTGGGTATATCAATTTACAAACGTTTTTTAAAAAAAAACTCCCACAATTTACGTCGGACAAGCCCACGTCTGACGTAAAATTGTGGCATGATTTTGCCCCTTTTTACGTCGGTCTGGAATAATCTCCGACGTAAATTTACGTCGTCTTGCAGAGGCGACGTAAATTTACGACTCCCGTATTAACGTCGGACCCTTTTCCGACGTAAAAGGGTCAAAATACACGACATAAAAGACCCTTTCTGTACTAGTGACTCCTGCGGTTGTCTACTAGTCTTTATGAAACTAAAAAGACAATGAAAAGTTTAGAATAAAGAAATAATTTTACATTGAATAGAAATAACTTTTTTTGTTTATTGGAAGAGAGATTAAGAGTACATGAAGAGTTTCACTGCGAGTAGTAATAATATATATATTTTTTTAGTAGAAAGGTTAAATAAATGAGTGAAAATTTAATATTTTTCAAAGTCTCTTAATTAATTAAGTAGGAAGAATATTTTAAAAATAGGTATTTAATATTTCTTAACTTATGTAAAGTTGTGCAGAATAAAAAAAATCCTTAAATATTGTCTCTTTCTTCGTTATACAATATCATATTAATTCATATTTCAAACTTTGTTGAAATAGTATACATAAAGATTCATGTTTGAACTTTGTTGTTATAGTTTTTTTAATTTATTATTCAGAAATATTTCACTACAAAAATGTTGTAGTTTAGAGTCAGGCAAAAGCTGACTCTAAATCATAAAAATCGACGTAATATTGTCAGTTATTTATCAATTTTAGCTGACGTTAAATAAGTCGACACAATTTTTTTTTTGTGTCGACTAAGCCGTTAATAACAAATTTATTTATTTTAATTTTTTATTGTCAGTTAAGCCGACACTACGTCGACACGAAATTTATTTTATTTTTTTTATCTTCTTTTTTCAGCTTATCAATTATTCGTTCGTATTTTTAACATTCTAAGGACTCGATATGTGAACCTTGAGGTCTTAAGTGAACTTAATAACCAAGTGAACCAAAACACATTATGCGTATATAACATTGAAAAATTATCTTTATCTCTCTCAAAGTACGTGTACTGTTGAAAAAACTAGCGTTATTTTAAGATGTAGCGTCAACTTTTCGGCTATATATAAATATATAGGTATAGGTATAGGTTTTCATTTAGGTAGGATCTTATGAGCTGAGTTACAATTCCCAAGTTTTGAGTTTTCACCTCCTGCCGATCTTAGGTAAAATCTCGAGTTTTACAACATTGGTTTTAGAAGTGCCCATTACTGCATACACAAATTCATTAAATAATGTATAGCCTTTATATTGTTACTGAACTCTCTTCTAGCTATTTATCTTGAAATTGTACAACAAAGTCAGTTAAAGTAAAGAAGATGCTAGTTGGACTTATAGCTGCTAAAGAATTAATATGGCTGAGGAATTGTCTTTTCAAACTGGTTTTGAGATATTACTAAATCATATGCCTTTTTGTGATATGAAAAGTGAAAACAAAGTAACAAATAGAAGAATATCATCCTTTTTCAATGAAACTATTAATTTGCTGCAAAATAAAGCTATAAGCACATAATTTCACTTCAAGGCAACAGGTAATTGGAGAAAAATTTTAATCAAAGAGTTGAATAAAAATTGCAATGTATTATATACCATGAACAAAGGAATTGAAGTCAAAATTTCCCTGTTTATTATGTATCATGATGGGATTTGAAAAGCAATAATTTTCTATCCAAGCTTGTTCTACCTCCTATTGCAGTGCTTGTATGTTAATACTACTTTTAGGCAGATATTTTTGTGATTTAGTAATTATTATCTCCGGTTGTTCTTGACTTCGCACCTCCAAAATGTTATATTCTTTGCAGAGCTGTCCTCCATCTTACAGTCCCAAGCACTACAATGAACTCTACAATTTCCGAGCTAGAGGCTTAGTTGCAAGAGCATCAGCAGATTCAAGGGATAATTTGGTGCCTTTTGCTCCTCTTCAATTTGAGTCACCAGTTGGTCAGCTTTTGGAACAAATTTCAAATACCCATCCTCATCTACTGCCAGCAGCCATTGATCAGCAACTAGAGAATCTTCAGACCGCTAAAGATGCCAATACAGAATCTTCTACTTCATCTCCTGATTCCCTTTACAGGTACGTCGAACAATCTTTTCTCTTTTTTCTCTTTACTTTGATTTGACTAGAAGTACCCATGTGGTAAAGAAAACTTGAGAAAATCAAAGTACTTTTTAGGATTACTATAGGAAATTTAGGTTCACAGAGTTGTAATTACCTGCGAAGTCAATCTCTTGGAAGCTTTGGCTATAGATTTCATTTTCTCGACTGCTGTATCTGGAAATTACACCATTCTATATGTACCATCTTTCCTGCATTGCATTGTTTTAAGTATTAGACTTTCCTCTATAATGCTTTTATTTTTTTTGTGTTGAATTTTATCATTTTCTTACTAAAAATGCTGAAATGATCAATAATTTCAGGGCTTAGTGGAATAAAATATACATCTCTGGTTTTAGACAAGCTACTCTGAAAGTCTATTTGTGTCTATTGCATGACTGAGGAAAAATCTTAAATATTAATGGCACTAATTAGCAACATGCCAACATATAAGAATATTGAAGCAACTTGGATACATTTTTATTGAGTCCATATTTTCCGTTTGATACCACACTTAGTGCATTACTTTTCATACCCGTAAGATATTTTTCTGTCATCTTTATGTGAGATCTACTTCTGTTGTTTATATAAACACATGCTTATGCACTTCACACACACCCATTCATACCCACAAGATCTTTCCCTGTCAGCTTTATGGGACTTGCCACATATTTTCGTCAGCTTTATGGAACAGCTACTTATGTTTATATAAACACATGCTTTGGTTTGGCACGCACGCACTCATGAAAAAATTGATAGCATGCTTAGCGCATTACTATTCATACCCACAGGATGCTATCTTGTCAGCTTTATGGGATGAGCTAGTTATTTTGTTTATACAAAAAAATGTTTGACTCTCTTCTCTTGTACCCCATCTTTTCTGCATTTCATGCTAATGCAAATTAATTTGGAATTTTATGATCTTCATTCTTCAACTTTCCAGTGTCAAACCTCTGGAAGATTTGAAACAATTTATAGCAAGAATATATTTGCATTATTTGGTTGCTTATTTAGTTACTTACTAGTAGTTCAAAAGTGATCAATTTTGTCAAAATCTGAATTTTAGGAGGATAGCTGAAGTCAAAGAGAAAGAGAAGCGTACAACATTGGAAGAAATATTGTATTGCTCAGTTGTACATAAATTTTTAGAAAACAACATTTCAATGATCCCAAAAATATCAGCAACATCAGATCCTACTGGTCGAGTGGATTTATGGCCAAATCAAGAGCTAAAACTAGAAGCTGTTCACTCTCCAGAGGCATTCGAGATGATTCAGAGTCACTTATCTCTGGTACTAGGAGATCGGCTTGTGGGTCCTCTTCAAACAATTGTTCAGATTAGTAAAATTAAACTGGGAAAGTTTTATGCTGCTTCCATAATGTACGGATACTTTCTCAAACGAGTCGATGAACGGTTTCAACTTGAGAGGTCCATGGGAACCCTCCCCAAGGATTTCGGAAAAGCTAAAAGTTTTGATGAACCATCGCCGGGTATCAAGCTCTGGGATCCTGATTCCTTGATCACAGTTCAAGATTATGATGACGATAGTTACAATGACAGTGATTACATGAATAATGATGAAGGCAAATCTTTCAAACTGAGAGCTTATGTAATGCAGTTGGATGGAGAGACGCTTCAGAGACTTGCTACTGTACGATCAAAGGAAGCTATATCATTGATTGAAAAGCAAACTCAGGCCCTGTTTGGAAGGCCCGATATCCGTGTCTCCGACGATGGTTCAATTGAAACCTCCAGTGATGAATTGTTTTCACTCACATTCTCGGGCTTGACCATGCTAGTTCTGGAGGCTGTTGCTTTTGGATCATTCCTGTGGGACAAGGAAAACTATGTTGAATCCAAGTATCCTTTTCTTAATAACTAGACTAGATGACTGTACTCCTAGATAATTTTTACTGCACCTTTTAGAATGTAAATGTAACGCATGGAACCTGGTCGTCAAAGAATTGCTTGCTATGTTTCAAAATATTATAGAGCCCAAGAAAAAACCGCATGTGAGTGGAGGTACATAGGAAAATGTATATTGATCCAATAGGCAGGATAATAATCTACGGAAGCGTGGACTTGTAAATGATATAGAATCTCAACCAAGTGAATTTTCATATTTGCTTTTTAACTGCTGAAAATCTGGCGGTGTGAGGGGCTAAAATATAATTCCGGATGCTAACTTTCTTTGACTGACATTTGCCTTAATATTTTCATTCCGGATGCTAACTTTGTTTCACTGGCGGTGTGACGGGCTAAAATATCTTCATTCCGGATGCTAATTTTCATATTTTCATATTTGGTTTTTATATTGACTAATATTTCAGACTTTTGGATTTTTTGCCTAACTTCTTAAAAAAAGTTCTTCGTTATTATTTTTACTTAAAATACTTTTAATATTTAAATTAAAAATTTTATTAATGTATGTTTAGTTTTTTTCCCTAAATTTAAATTTTATTTTGATTTCAAAGTTTTAAAAATTAGTTTAATATATGAAATTTAACTAAATAATAGGTTAAAAACATGAGGAAATTAATTTAAACACCGACAACGAAAAGATTTTTAATATTATCAATTAGAAATTGACATATATCAAGACTTCAGCAATAATGATCCTTTTTGGTGTATAAGTAGTTGCAATAATATTTATTTATTTTCATTTATAAAAACAATCATTATATATCCAATTGAATAGTGTTTTGGATATAAGGAAGGGTAAGATCAGTGAGTACGAAGCAAAGGTTGTTCCTAGAGTTTCTAGCAATAGCATGAGCGATTAGGTTTTGTATGTCTTCTAGAAAAGCCAACATGGTAATGTGGCAGTAACATGGTAAGAAGATTTCTATATTTATCTTAAATATTTTCATATTTGGTGAGGTTGATTTCTTCTTGAACTATCCCATTTGTTACATATTAACAATCACTTTTGGTGTGATCATTGTCGGATTTAATTTTTTTTTTGTTTTTATCTATTCCAAAGCAGCTAACAGAGTAAATGGCTTTTCCTTCCATAATGTTTGACATAAAAGGTTTGTGGACGAGAGGGTTTTTATATGTTGACTTTTGTTATCTTATATGCATGCCCCATACCGAGACTTTTACTTTCTGTGAAGAATGTAGAATCAACGTTACATTTTAGAAAATTTAGGTGGGAAGGTTTTCACTTGGTGTTATTGTTAGGTTGTGTTTTCTGGATAATGCATGCCTAGGAGAGGTTAGCTCTTTAACATGCATGGAGATACTCCTTGACTTCATAGGTGGTGTTTTTAGGATTGAAGGGTTTATCATCTCATGGTAGGTAGTTCTGTTCTTCTATACGCTCCAAATTGTTTCGACAAAATCCCAAATAAGATTGTCAGTTTCAGAGTCGGAACAAATGAAACTGGAAAGGACATCTTTAAAAGTGTCCACATTGGTGACATGGGGATGAAGGTTGGACTAGATATTTGTGTGGTGCGATGTTTCTCTGATAACATTAGAGCTAGACAAATGTGCCAATTGTTTTCTATATTAAAGTTACAAAAGAGGTATGTTGTAGGACAACCAACTCCTTTTACTTAAAGTCTGGTACAAGTTGGGAGGTAGTCTTTTCATGCATGCCAGATGAGATTCTTTTTACCTTCAGAGATGCTTTCAAGTTCCATATGTTACTCCAAGGACCTTGGACCGAGATCATGTAGGTTGCTTATATTGAACATGCATTCAATGATGTGGAAGTATGCAAATTTCATTGAATCGCACCCATCCTTGTTGAGGTTCCAAATATGCTTGTCTTTAGCATCAAAGTCACTGATATGGGTATTTAGTATGGCTTTTGTGACACTTTCGTTGAAGATGTGTTATTAGTTCTCTATTCTATGATGAATGGTTGTAGTCTATCAGATCACTAACAGTGTTATTAGTTCTCTATTCTATGATGAATGGTTGTAGTCTATCAGATCACTAACAGTGTTTGGCTTATTGTTTAAACTCACCAAATTTATATTCAACAAAGAAGTTACAAAATGTTGCTTCCTATTTTAGTGTATTGGGAAGAGAAAATTTCACTAACTCGTAAATTACTAAGGTTTAGGTTCATTGGAGTTTGCACCCTAGGTTGATCATACCATGAAGTCAATGATCCTTCCTTATAATCTCCGTTTCAAATATGTCATCTATGGCCCTCCTTGACCAAATGTAGCTGGGATTATTGTCAATTATAACTTCTAAAAATTGCCCTTTGAGATGGTATCTAATTTTGAAGATTTTGGATATGATAGCAATGAGGTTTGAAAGAAGTCTCCAGCCAAGTTTACCAAGCATGACAAAGTTTAAACCAAGAATACTGTGAAAGCCTAAATTGTTAGGAAAAATATAAATATTTACATTTTTAACCAAATAAAATACATATTAGAAATCAAAAAGATTACTCATTATTTGTAAACAATCAATCATCAAAAATGCATTTAGTAACCATTACTACCACATTGATGGTTATTCATAGTCTGACTTCATAAATTCTAAACATTTGAACAATCAAATAGAATTAAACATGACCATTATATTTTAAATTGTTAATCTTCCACTTGGTTCAAATTTTTAAAAGGTCAACTAAAAATTCTTTTAAGAAATAATTACACAAATCATAACAATAGGTCTTATTAAAAATTCTTTTAAGAAATAATTACACAAATCATAACAATAGGTCTTATTATCGTCCATGTATCACCAACTCAAAGAGTTTCTCAAGCAATCATGTCTCCTAACTTGAGTCACATCCGATGCTTTGAAGGCATGTCTGACAAGGATTTTCTCATTTAGAAGAATCGTCAAATTAGCTTAAACCTACAAATCACATAGCCCAAACAACATGCAATACATGTTTTAACATATAAACAACTTATATGACTCATTTCTAGTACAAGGAACCACATCAAATCAAAATCACCAAGTTTCTCTTCAAAACAACTTTGAGAAGCCAAAACTCAAAGGCCATCCATCACTTTTCATAATTCAACCAAAACAACCATCATACGTACATTTCAGGCAGAGTTCTATAACTAAACATCAACAAATTTGATCAACAAGCTTTCCTTACCTCGAACCACTCAAAATGTAAGGAAGATGGAAGAAAACTCAGTCTCAAGGAACATTGTATGACTTTCTCAACTTAAGATTCTTAGCTCCTAAAGTTTGAATTTCTAATTTACCTTTGTCACTTAGCTCGGAAAGGGTTTAGAAGGATTTTATGGAGTTAGAAGAAGAATCTCTCTTGAATTTTAGAGTCTTTCTCTAATTTCTCTCTTGCTTTCTAAAAGTATGAACTTACAATGTTCATGTCTTAACAAAAAAACTTATACACCCTTTCTTAAAAGAGTTAATCACCTATACACTGCTGGTGTAAAGTTTTTTTATACTGGCAATCAATCATATCTTTTAATAGTGTCATGTTAGTTATTTATTTAATAAAATAATAATAAAATAAGCAACTTTAAAAGATATAATTGGTTGTCAGTGTAAAAAAATTTACACTAACCGTGTATAGATGATTAACTCTTCTTAAAATAGGCCAACTAGACCATAACTAAAACTATTTCAATGACAAATTAACTTTTAAGGATCTCTTGACCCTTAAAGTTTTAAAACAATTACAATTACGATAATTTAACACCACACACACACACAGATAGATACACACACACACAAATAGATACACACACACAGACACAGACAGACACACACACACAGACACACGCACACGCACACGCACATGCACACACAAACAGAGACAGCACGCACGCACGCACGCGCACACACAAATATATATATATATATATATATATCATACAATTAATTAATAAAATTAAAATCACAATGTTACTTTCTGTAGTGTAATATGAGCGTGATCACTTTCTATAATGATTGACAATGATTTTTTTTACTAAGAGCAATAGTCTATGTCCATCCACATTAACCAGAGAAAATTTCTCTCTTTCTATATCTTATAATTATTCCTTTTAAGTTTTGAAATGTCACATTGAATATAAAAAAAAAACATTTTGAGATGTTAGATGAAATATCAAAACTTATGTCAAACTTTAAGTCATATTAATTTAATATATATATAGAGGAGTTATTCATTTACTCCAAGTGTCCGTTCAATAAGAATTAAGAACTTTAAATTTAATGAGTGAATTGTTAAAATTTAAACTTTACATTTAACGAGTGAATTATTAAAATTTAATGTAAAATATGAGTTATTGAGCTTAAATTTACTTTTAATGTAAACGAATTCACTCATTATATATATATATATGAATCTTGTGACATGAGGATCAAATTTGTAACTCAAATAGATTCATCAACTTTATGATAGAATTATTAATTTTGTACACAATTTTAATTTGTATGTATACATCATAATATGATTTTCTATCTAAAAAATAAATTTATCAATAAAACTATCAAAAAACTTATAATTCCTGTCAGTAAATTATAGAATTATAACCTTTTATCCTACTTGATTATATAAGTATAACAAAAAATGTAGTGGTATAAAAGTCATTATATTTGAGTATAATGAATCATAGCATCATGTCTAATTCATGTAGTATTAAATAATTTAATACATAATTTTATTAATTACAGGTGTTGTAATTCATAACCAATAAAGTTATAAAAATTATTGGATAATAAAATTTACTCCACACAAATCAATCAAAATTATAAATTTATATAAACATAATTTTATAAAAGAATAAGGAGAGATTTACTTACTTTAAAGTAAGTTAACTATAATTTATATTAAATTTTAATGATTTAATTGTTAATGTATAAATCAAATTTATAATTTTTTTAAAAAAATTAAAAATTATTTAATATTTTATTTTTTTTTAATTTTAATTAATATATAAAATATTTATAATTATCTATTAATTTAAATTAATAAAATAAATATTAAATAACTTTTAAATTTTTAAAAAATTTATGAAGTATTAAAAAAATTTTAATTTAACTATAAATTTAATATAAAATTTAAGTTATTAATCGAAGTAAATCTTAACGAACTCTCAGTAAAAATATCCTCCTCTCTATATATAAATCATTTAACTCTTTCAAACTTTAGGTACTGCTATAAAATGATCATGTCATTGATTATGATATATATTGAATCAATAAATTTATGAAATATTCACGTAAAATGCAACAAACCACTACAACACATGAATATTGTGTGATAACATTGGACATTGTTTTACTTACAACATCATATATACATGTTCAATAATTTCCCGATGAAACAACACAAATAATATGTGTTTCAGTTGTCTTCAATCATAAATGGATCTTAATTACCAGATTGCAATATAGATAGAAACCCAACAGTTTCCAACCATTTCATACATCAAAAAACAAATTTTAAATAGTAGAAATATTAGAAAAAATGAATTGTTTTTCCATTTTAATTAATTAAAATTTTAATATATATATATATATATATATATTTATATCAATTTATAAAAATAACAAACCACAAATTATAAGCAAACCAGAAATAAAAGTTTTTGATACCAAATATTAGGAAAAAAAACTAGATATTAACATTTTTTAATTAAATCTAATATTATTCCCAACCATTGCAATTTGAAGAGCAGTTTAAAGAATTATAATTCTTGGTTCTTCCAAACTCTCATTGCAGATATATATCAAAAAACTTTTAAGTCTGAAGTTTAGAGAACAGGTATTTTATCATCAATAATGTATTTAGTAATCATTATCATTACCATGTAACTCATAATTTAACTTTATAAATTCAAAATGTTTAAACTAATTAATAAGATTAAACATGACATTTATATTTTAAATCTGTTACATGAACCATGTTCTTTTCTGAGGGTAAGTTTTTTCCTGTGGTTCCAGCTTATTCTCTTACCATTGTTTTGTTTACTGTCCCACCAAAATGAGTTCATAATTTTATGAAGTTTCAATGATAAAATAGAGTGTTCATATAGTATGTAGGTATGGCTTGAAGAATGTTTTTTATCATCACTTCCCTAGTAGCTATTGATAGATTGTCTCCCTCTCCCACAATTTGTTCTTATAACTAGTTTTACCTTCTTCTATTTTATTTTTTTTTATTTTTTTTTATTTTTAAATTTAGTTTCTTTTTTTATCTCTCTATTTATCATTAATATCAAACATGCATTTTTTTAAGTAATCACTCAATTTTTTTTTTTGAAAAATAGAGAAGGACATAAAATAAATTTTTTTCTAATAATAAATTTAACGACCTTTATAAAAATTACTTAAAAATTATAAATAATTTATGATTAATTGATAATATAAAATTATCTTACGAAATTCGTACCTCACTATTAAACTTTACAAATATTTAAATTATATTATATTCAAATAATTAAATAATTTTAAGTAAATTAACAAGACATTGATTCGAATAAATTTGGACTTAATCCCTTAACTAAAGTAATAAGTTTAAAGTCTTGCAGATAAAAAAAAATATATAATTAAAAAGAGATATCACACTAAATGTGATTAGAATTTTTTTTAGCACAAATTAATTATGGCCTAAGTTGATTGATTCCAATAATACGATTGTAATTGTTGAGAATTCAAAGTTGAAATTGTAATTGTTGTACAACTAAGTTTGAAGAATCTCATTCTTCACCATTCTTTTCCCTTTTTTTTAATTTAAAGAGAGTCAAGATTAAGAAAGCTTGTAGGTTTGTTTCTTGTTATATTGTATGAGTTATATGTTGCCTAGATTCACTGAATTTTAGTTGTGATGTTGATTTGAGTATCAAACACTTTCATTATTAGTTTTCTTATGATTTTTGGTAAAATGAAAATGAATTGGTAAATGTGAATCTTTCATGGTTGCATGCCGGAATTCTTGGTTATTTGAGTTTTTGGTAATGTATAGATATAATATTGGGAGTTGCATGTTGGATAGAAATATATAAACAAATATAATATTTTATAATTTAATTTAAGTTGATAAATTTTAAACAATTATATATTGTTGTAGTTTTTAAATTTAAAAGAAATACTATATGTTATATTTGACTATTTTGTTGACATAAATTGACAATAATATTTTACTGTATATAACTTTTTATTTACTTACATTTATAAATTTATATAAATTTATATGAACATATTATGATATTCTATTTTTGACACTTGAGTATATTTAAATATTAATATAGAAGATAATTGTATTATTCTTTAAACTAACTCCAAACGTGTAATTTAGTGATAAGGGTTGATCCACATTTAAACAAGGTTAGGAATTTGAATCTTGTTTTGTGTATGCAGTCGCGTTAGATCTTGGAGTCAGCTATCCCATCCTAACGAGGAGATTAATCACCGCTATCGGCCCTGAATACTCGAGGAACGAAAAAAAAAATTCTAAAGATGAGTTTCAATATATATTAAAATTTCAGAGACTGATCTAATAAAAAAAAAATTGTAAAGACTAATAAACATATTCGAAATATTTTATACAAATTGGTCTCAAAAAAATATTTTATTAAAAAAAAACAGAATAATTTAGATTAAAAATTTAGAATAAAATTTTAGGCGCTGATCCATCATCTTGGACCTCTTGGACAAACTACAAACCCTCCCTTCTTTCTCTTCCCTTCCTTTCACCGCATTCTATACATACCCTCTGAGTCTTACCCTCTCTATTATTTTCCCTTTCTCTCTTCACTATTGCGCACACGCAAATCCTAATCTACTTTCTACCAATTCATTTGCGTTCCAACAATGGGTTACGAAGACGATCCGTGCGTTTCCCCCTTTCTTTCTCCGCGATCAATTGTGCGTTAGGGTTTCGCTTCCTTCGATTTCCTCATTTAATTTTTCGATCCCCTTTCAGGTACCGCGACGAGGACGGTGAGCCTTTGATGGACTATGACGACGTTCAATCCGACCGTGAGCCCTCTCCGGAGCCGCAGCACCAGCTCGACGATTTGGAGGAGGACGTTGACGAGTGGCGCGGCCGCGATCGGTCGCAGACGCCGGTGTATGATAACGAGGCGTCGCGGTCGAAGCCGAGGAAGAGGCTGATCAAGAAGAGCGACGCCGGGAAGCAGGCGGTGGCGCCGGAGCTGGAGGACGAGGACGAGGAGGGGTATGTGCCGGTGAGCGTGGAGGAGGGAGAGGGGAGGAAGAGGAAGAAGGGGAAGGAGGGTGGGAGTGGGAAGAAGGAGAAGAGGATGAAGGGGGAGAAGAGGTTTGGGAGCGGTGGCGCTGGGAAGGGTGGGTCCAAATTTGGGGGTTCCAAGAAAGGTTTTGGTGGGAAGGCGGGGAAGGATCATGATGGTGAGGTTAAGGAGATGTGGGATACGATTGCTGGGGGAGATTCTGAGGTATTGTTGCTTTTTGCAATTTTCATTCATTGAGTGCATGCTTGGTTCCAAATAGCTATCCAGAGGCGCTATTTGTAAAATTGATTCCGATTAGAATTGCAAAATCACGTTAGGATTTGAGGGATTAAGGATAACAATCGTGTGAAACTGTGAAAGTAGGTTTATTTCACCACCCGTGATTAGTTATGACTTTTCATTGATGCTTATTTTAATGACGGTGATTCTTCAGAATGCCCTTTTGGTTGTTATTGCATCTGATAGCTTCTTTTTGTTTCCATTAATAGGATGATCAGGAGGGTGTCAGGAATATGGATGATGACAACTTTATAGATGACACCGGAGTGGAACATGGTTATTATGCTAGTGATAATGAACCACGGTCCCCTGGTGATGCTCCCCAGGTTGGTGGTTTATTCTCTTTTATTTTTTTTAATCAAGTTATCTTGAAATCAGATCACTGTGTTTGATAACTTCGTAATTCAAAAAGGTATTTCGACTAGTAGTAGTGTTGGTAAACTAGAAATATGTAATGAATGTTCTTTGTGGCTAAGAATCAAGCTATTCTGTCTTGTTTTTTTATTTAGTTGGAGACAATTTTCTCTGAGAAATTAATTATAAAACATGTTCACTGTATATTTAAAGCTTTTTATAATGCATTTTGACCGTTAAATGGAATTCCTAGGCTGAGGAAGGTGAAGAGGATGAAGAAATTAAGGATCTTTTCAAGATAGGCAAGAAAAAGAAGAAGAATGAGAGAAGCCCTGCTGAAATAGCTTTACTAGTTGAGAATGTCATGGCTGAGCTTGAGGTTACAGCTGAGGAAGATGCTGAGCTTAATAGACAGGGGAAGCCTGCCATTAATAAACTCAAGAAGTTGCCTCTTCTTACGGAAGTTCTCTCAAAGTATGTGGTTAATATTCTTCCATGTTGTGGTTGACCTCAAAATGTGCAGACGGGTGTTTCCATAGTCTTTTATGTTTATTTTTCTTTATTTTAATAATAACTTACTGCCAACCATTTTGCAGGAAACAGCTTCAGCTAGAGTTTTTAGATCATGGAGTGCTAACTTTATTGAAGAATTGGCTTGAGCCACTTCCTGATGGAAGCTTGCCAAATATCAATATACGCACAGAAATTTTGAAGATTTTGAACGATGTAACAAGTGGCACCGCTATAACATTTTAGGTCCAATTATTTTTTACCATATGATTATTTAGAACCTCATTTGTCTGTCTCGTAATGCAGTTTCCTATAGACCTAGAGCAGTATGATAGAAGAGAACAGCTGAAGAAGAGTGGTCTTGGAAAGGTTGGGTTTCTATTAATCATGTGACTACATTTCTGTCTTAATACAGCCCCCAGAAGGGGTGCCTATATGTAGCCCATTATTGAAACTAATATCTTGTACTATCTTTATTTTCCTGACAGGTAATTATGTTTTTATCAAAGTCCGATGAAGAAATCAATGTAAATAGGAAACTAGCCAAGGAGCTGGTTGATAAGTGGGTAAGTAATGCATGACTAAATTCTTGCTCCATCATTCTGATTTATTTTTCTCCAAAGCTGTTTGATTTAAACCAGGTCATGCAGTGTTTTAAATGCCTGAGAATAAAACTATGGTGGTTTCCTCTGTTGTGTTTGGGTATTATGTTGTGTTTTACTTTTACTAAAAATGGCTGATTATTGACTAGTGACAACATTATTTTACATGAGTTTTTTGTCCTATCACTAGTTAGTCTATTTTTATTTACTAGTGGTTTTCTTCTTTACAAGCAAAATTTTATATTTATGTCAACTTTGCCTTATGATTGCAGAGCCGGCCTATATTTAATAAGAGTACTCGGTTTGAAGACATGAGGAGTATGGAAGATGATAGGGCTCCTTTTAGGAGGCCATCAGTTAAAAAGTAACCTTCTACCTTTGTCTTCAATTGGCTTCTGCTGCATTATAATTACTTGTGTGACTTGCTAAATTTATACGATTTAATTGACATCTTACAGGCCAACAAATAAAGCTGCTGGAATGGAATCTAGAGATAGCGATCTTGATTTGGAACTTTCACAGTAAGGCCTGGATGGTGTTTATGAACTTCTTGTGGAGCACTATTTGTTGAGTAATTACTGAATGTTTTGGATGGTAAATTTGCTGTTGGTAATACAGGCCTAGGGCTGGACAGTCCTCTTCCAGGCAGCATGCATCAAGGCCAGAAGCAACACCTTTGGATTTTGTGATCCGTCCCCAATCTAAAATTGATCCAGAAGAAATCAGAGCACGAGCAAAACAAGCTGCCCAAGATCAGCAGCGTATGAAGGTTTGTCTTATTGTTTAAGTCCTTTTAATCCTGTTTTCTGGCTCTTTTAAGCACAGATATTTTGCAGATGGCTTTAAATTGAATGTTATTTTTGAGTTTTACCTTTGCTCCATCATTACAACTTTCAACCAGCAATGGTTGATCCCCTTAAACTTTTGTTTGTGGGACTATATCAGTGGTGAAGTTTCTAGCATATGGGACAATATTGCAAATAAATGTAAAGAAAACAATAGAATTATATAGTCATTTCATTTCATTTCAAACTTTGATAAAACTTACAATATCTTCTGTGGTGTCTTCCACTAATTCTCTGATAATCAGTATGGACAGAGCACATGCTAGTATGGCTCTAATTTACATGGTTAAAAGTAGGACAGTTGCTATGGTGACTTGCAACTCTTTAATTACCAGAGTCTGGAGCAGAACAAATGTGCACTCAGAAGCAATAAATATTTAAATAGTAGTGATGATAGAGTTAGTAAAGAGAATATACAACGGGATAATGGTGAACTGATACGGAATTAGAGAAGATAGAATGGAGATGTGGATACATATTTATTTAATTATATAATCTGGAAACGTTTATTAATTCATCTAGACAAATATCCGATTAAGACATTTGTTTTTGAAGTTCTTAAGTCTAAAATGAAGGTCGAAAACCATGTCCTTTGTTATCTTTGTTAGTAGAGATGTGTACCAATTTGACCTGTGAATTGTTCACTGCAGATGAATAAGAAATTACAGCAATTGAGGGCACCAAAAAAGAGACAGCTTCAGGCTACAAAATTGAGTGTGGAAGGTCGTGGTATGGTCAAGTATTTATAAATGAGAGCACGGTGATACTGGATGGATTTATTTGTCCTGCTGCAAGCTTTAATATAATGTGCTGCCTTCATGTGCATTCTTTCAAGGGTGGATCGATGAGCTTCCTTGTTGGCCTATAAGTTCAGTGCTCTTAATTGAAATTTTATTGGGAGGGATGTCATAAAATTAGATCCCTATTATTCTGCATTCCTTAGTGCAGCAGAAAATTCAAAATACATTGGATGGTTATGCATTCGTATATTATTTCTTTCTGTTGAATAATCAAGCTTTTGTTTGTCGTCAATTTTAATGAAAATGTGGATTCTGCATTTCTTAATGGTAGAAATAATTTAGGCTTATTTAACCATCGTGGGTAATTTTCTTTAATGGTTAGCTTTTGTTTAAAATTTGAATAAAATTCCAAAATAGAGCAAGTTGCGATTGTTAATGATGCTATAAGTTAAATAGTTCGTTTGGAATAGAAGAAAGAAATAACTAGGGTAAATGAAAATAGAAAATGTGAATGAAAAAGGTGAAAAAATTGAGTTTAAAAACTTCAGCATTTCTATCTCTATAGGGAGCGAATCCAATCTTTTGCATTCAGAGCATTCAGAAAAGTCAAGGGCTTTATAGCCCGAACCCTTGCAAAGAGTACATTCTTAACACTCCATTGAAGTGACTTGAGCATTAGAATTTCCCTTGTCAGAAAATGGGATATGGATCCTCTCGAGTTCAAAAATGAACTGCACCTTGTGCAGTTTAGATCCAATGACTCACTAACAGCGTATATTTATTTTTTATTTTTTTTATGAAACAATTATTTTTTTTTTAAATTTTTTTATGAAACAATTATTTTTTTTTTTTTATGAAACAAAAATATTATTTGAAGGGCTATGATGCATGCAGTTTGAAAAGTAACTGCACGGGATCTTACTCCCAGAAAATGAAGGTGTTTCGGAACCTCCCATTTACTGTTGGCTTCCTATTCAGAAATTTTTTAGCAGCCAACTAGCCATTTTAATATTTCAGTGCAGCAAATAAAGTTGTGACTTAACACTATCCCTCCCGCAGCACAACATACTTGTCATTTTATCAAGGTTTCTTTTGTGAAGGAAAGCTTAGGTTGTTGACAAAATAGGTTGTTGACAAAAACATGTTGGTTACCTCCTTGAATATAGTAGACGTGTCCTTCAAAGGAGAATAGTTTTAGTTTGAAAATACTATTTTTCATGTGAAAATTATTTCTAATGTGTTCCATTATTGATCTAGATTTAATCTATTATCCTTGTCAACAATTATTTGAATATATCCATTATCTCATTCGTGAAATTTTTTTTGTTGAACTTTGTGATGACTAAAACTCTATATATATGAAGTGTGTTGCTGAACTTTGTAATCTATTCGTGAAATTTTTAACTCATTGAATGTGCTCTTATCTATAATATACAAAACTATTGTGTATTAAGAGTGAGAATTTGGAACTATTTTGGAGGGATTTTTGACATAAGATAAAACTGATGTGAGGCCCCCTTTTCTTCTTCAGATTTCTTTTCTCCCCCGAACCCGCACTCATTCTCACTTGCACTCTCCTTGCATCTTGGTTGCTGACCCTTCTCCATTTCCCAACTAAAGTTGTGGGTGATCTTGGAGACCCTCCTCTACAAGGGTGAAGCCATCCGGAGCTAAGCGTGGGCGGAGTTTCCGTTCTCCTCTTCACTAAGCTCGGATTCTTCACCGAGGTAAGGGAAGCTAGTTTCTTTTGCAGATTAATTGCTGAAAATGAGTTCTAGTAGCTCATTGTTGTTTGAACGTTGGATGATTTGAGCCGAGGTTGATGAAAATGGATTTTTCCGGGGTTTCGGGGTTTGAGTGAAAATTTGGGGATTTTCCTCGTTTCTTGTTGCATGTTGAAAAAGAAGGGGTTTTTGTGTTGATTGATGAAACTGTGGCATTTTGGGCTAGTTTGCATGTGTTGGGATTTCTTTGTTTGCAGGTTATAGTTCAAAAATGGAGGAGGGTTTGTGTTTCTGTCACGAACGACTGAGCCGTTTTGAAGGGCTGAGCCCTTTGGGAGTTTCGTGACAGGGGAGAGTCCCTGGAACCAAACCGCTGAGCGGTTTTAAAAGTGCTGAGCGCTTTGGGGGCCGAGAGCTAGAGGAGAATTTCTGGGAGAAAAGCGCTGAGCGCTTTTAAGGCGCTGAGCGCTTTTGTAATTTCAGAATTGGACTTTGTAGTCTTCATGAAAGTTGTAGCCTGGGATGTTAGCTTTCCAATGGCGTTGGAATCACCTAAAAAGGAGTTCGAAAACTCCAGATATGGCTGTTTTAGTGAAGAGAGGTCAAGCTGTCAGCATCACCTATAGCTGTTGCGGTTTTTCTCATTTTTAACAAGGTATATGAAGGAATTAGAACTTTGTGTCTTCATGAGAGTTGTAGAAAATCTTCTTATCTTTCATATGAGATAAGGGTGAGCATGGTAGGAGTAGTATAACTCCCAGTGCGCTGTTTGTTGTGATGGTTGCCATTTCACATTTAGTGATTTGGTTAAGTTGAAAGTCGTTTTAGGTACTTAGGTGTACTCTTGTTGTTGGGTGAGTAATTTGATAAGATAGATGAGTTGTAATCAAGATGGTTGGGTCATATTAGGTGTTGATCATGCTAACTTAAGCTGCTAACGATGAATGTTGTTGAGATGTTTATGTTGCATTATTATGTTGAGCTGTACCAGTTGCATATTGCTGTAAGTTGATAACTCATTATATGCTGAGTTGAATTGGAATGGATAAATATGGTGTGATGATGAGTGAATAATAATGTTGTTTGTGCTGATTAATGTTGCCAATGCCGTGTGATGAAAAGTTGTGTTGTGCGGTATACTGTTAATGAGATAACGCTGAGTTGTGTTATGTGATGCTAATGCTAAACTTTATTATTTGAGTCGAGCTGAATTATAGGCTGATCATTGTTGAATTTTGAGGTAATTGCTGAGCTGAGGTGTAGTTGATAAATATGTCGTGCTGGCTAGACGTAAATGCTGAAAAATGATGTTAAGTTGAAATAGATGTATATCACTGTGCTGAGTTGGGCTGTTATATATGATTTAAATGCTAATTTATAATATGGCTGTACTCTAGAATGATGAGCTGAGTTGTGAGTAGTAAGCTGTGTTGAATACTACTAGCTGTGTTGTATGCTGATGTGTTGTGCTGTGCTGTGAGTTGTTTTGCTGTGCTGTTTATTGCTGAGCTGTATGCTGCTATAGCCGCTATGTCGGTGCTGTTAGCCACTATTGTGATGTTGTAGCCGTTAAGTCGGTGCTGTTGTTGCCACATACGTGGTGCTGTGATACCCGCTAGCTGGTGCTGATGTGTGCCTATTTGAGAGGCCATTATAACCACTTGAGGTGGTGCTGTTGCTGCTGCTGAGCAGTGCTGATGTTGCCGCTAGGCGGTGCTGTTATAACCACTTGAGGTGGTGCTGTTGTTGTTGTTCTACAGTGTTGATGTAGTCACATCGTGGTGCTAGTATTGATGCGTGATATAAGCTGTGCAGATGAGTTGATACTCATAATGATGAAATCTAATTACATTGCTATTTATCCATTTGTATGCTGATTTTTAATTACACTAGCTTACCCCTTTTGCTGTTTTCCATGGTGTTTGGACTGCGATGATCATACTGTGTATGGGAGCAGAACAGGAATAGGTGGGCGCCTAGCAGTGAGTCTCCGGCGGACCGAGGAGCTGTTTTGCTGTCTGGTTGTTTTGTTTGTGGCTACTTGGGATAGTAGCATTTGGTTGTAATCCTCTTTGGTACACTTTAACTCTAGTCAGACTGGAACTTTGTATATTTATATATTCTAGATCCTATATTTATATACTTGTTCTATCTGCCCGGTGTTTCTAGTGTGCTGTACCGTGTGTAGCGACTAGCCGGGTCGTTACAACTGAGTTCATAGTAAATATATCCATTATCTCATACATGGAGATTTTTTTGTTGAGTTTTGTGATGGTCAAAATTCTATATAAAGAGTGTGTTACTTTTTGAGTTATTGAACCTACTTTTATCCATAATATACAACAGTATGGTGTATTAAGACTGAAAATTTGGAACCAAAGGGATTTTTAACACAAAATAGAATTGAGCTCATCGTAGATAGTAATGACTGGAGGTTGGTTTTCCATTGATGTTTTGCCATGTTTTCTTCTCTTTATTTTTTTTGTTCTCTTTTTTCAGTTAACAGACATTTTCTTTTTGGCCTCCCTTAATCAATAAAACTGGAAATTGAATGAAAATCCTTTTCTACATTTTTCTATGATTTAAAACGTGTATCTTGACGTTAACAAAATGGTTGAAAACGTTGATTTTTGTTTCGGATTTGTGGGTCTCATCCGAGTCACAATGACCTGACTTAAGGTTGAAGATGAATATGAGGTCTGCAACACTTCAGTTATTGCCATTAATAAATGCACCAAATGCTCTTTAATTAATGTTACAGGAGAGAGACGGGAAAGAGAATATTGCATGAGAGGATCCAAATTGTATATAAATGCATATGACTGTTGGTTGCAATGATACATGTTCTTTTATATGCGTTGGGGCGTGGGATTGAGTAATGGCATATTCCTTTTGATTTTCTTTAATATAGTTTTGTTTTTTTAGTAATAATAAAAAGGTTGGGACGAAATTAGGACAGTTAAAATAGAGTCAGTTTGACCTATTTGATATCCACTTTATTAGTTTATTGATTCGGCCTAACTCACTTGCTTTAATGCTTAAATTTTTTTAGTTCGACTTAACTTATTATGGATTAATGGATTAAATAGATTAATTCACTAACTCACCTTTTTATTTTAAAAAACTAATTTAAAATAAAATTCAATTTACAATAAAAATTATAAAATTATGTATCATGTATACATCATTAAACTTAATTAAAAAGTTACTATTTTAAATAATCAAAGCAAAAAAATTATTGTTATTAGAATGGTTGTTCACCAATATTAAATTTCATTAAAGACTTGAGTAGATAAATCTATAACAATTTTATATTATTTAACATCAATTTTATCTTCATCTACAAAAAAATATACTTATTAAAATAATACATATATAACAATAGATAATTAAATAGAACATTAGTTGGTTGGACTAATGGAATGTGTTAGTGGGTTAGGTGGGTACTTTGACCCACCAAGGGTCCAGCGCTGGGTCAAGTTGAATTTTTGGCCAATTATAAAATTCTTGATTTTTTTTTACCCGACCCAATTTGTTTTTAAGGTGGGTTAGATTAGTCCATAGATCAAAGTCCACTTTAATAGCTATAGACAAAATGCAATAGGAAGATATCAAACTTAGTTACTGTGTATGGAAAAGAGAGCAACAACTAAAGCATT